AATTCATTCATGAATGCAGGGAACATTGTTTCCTGCCATAAGACCATAATTAATGATTTGTGCTCAGTGACCTCCAATTCCTTATCCCAAAGCACTTATTTGGATTTTGAACCTTTCTCTAATATAAATGCAGTTGAAGGGCATTATAGATCGGTTAAAAGGGATACTGATAAATATTTTGTGGACGGTGAAGAAAAGGACTTCACATTTAGTTATGATATAATATCAAAGAGCTCCAGTCGAGAACACTGCACTACACATACAGACCGTGAACTAGAGTTTAATGATTATGCTGGTTCGAGAAAATTCTTTCAACCACACGATTTAGATGGTGAGTTTTCTCCTGAATGCCCAGATATATTAGCTGATGAGCCAGATTGGTCACGTCAGTATTCGCACTGCAAAGATAACATGGGTATTGACATGTATAAAAGACAAAAAGATCAGTTTAAAGATCAAGATTGTTTAAAGAATCATGTTTCAATAGGAAGATCAAAAAGAAGCCATTCAGCTCCACCATTTTATAGAAGCAAGAGGAGGTACTTTACTTTAAGTCACCCTTTGACAACAACAGCAAGAAAACTTGATGCACAAAACTTCCATAATGAAGCTACTTATCCAGGTACTATTATGTGATTTTCCATTTAAAACTTGGAAATTGATGCAGATTCATGACTAGCTAAAACACCTTTTGTGCAGAAGCTGGCAAGATGAAGGATCTCCATCAACCTCCTAATGGTTGCCATCTAAATTTGAAGCTGAGTGCTGTCGAGGATATATCAGCAGATGACAGGTACGTGAACTCTAATTATTTTCTCGTTACACCATAAGTTGCAGACTTTATCCTCTCAGTCACCAAAATTTACTTTTGGAGCAGATATCAAGAATCTCAAGATTTTAAGGCTGGTGTAAACAAACACGAAGTTGAAATGTCTGAACAGTCTAAATGTTCAGGGATTCAAGCCACTGCTCCAATTAAAGGTATCTCGTTCTTTTATTATTCGAAAAGTGTAATCAATACTTGAATTAGCTTTTGCTTATTATAAAATTACTTCTTTAGCATTTGTTGGACAATATAAGGTTGGTTCTCATCCTTCCTTGCCATGTTTCAGAATTTATCTCCCCGGATCAAGATTCCCTCAATTGTGGAACCAAATGGCGGAATTGCTGTCCCCAGATCATGGTGAGTATTAAATATGTGTAATACATATGTGGACGGTTGAAGCTCAAGATGAGTTCATTGCTTTACTCGTTTGCCACAAAAGTTTACATCCATTTGATTAACTTATTACTGTGAATGTATTTTTTTTTAATAATGCAGAATGCAAGTAAAATACAAGGTCTTCATGATCAAAATAGCATACTTGATATATCATCTGGGTTCTTGCATCTCGCTGCTGACTCATTAGTCCCTGAATCCATCACCAAGAACTGCCTGAGTGATTGCAGAGTTCTTCAGCAGGTGGATAAGAAATATATTGCAGTTATGGCTGGCAGAACACTTGCTATTATTGACCAGGTCCGTTTATTGTATATTTTTTCAGGACATTTGTTTTAAGGTTTAGCTTGGGATTTCTGCTTTTGTATAACTCCACAATATGTTTCTTGGTACATGAGGGGCACCTGCAGTTCACTTATAGATTACAACAAAAGTTTGCATGCATCCAAACGTGTTCTTGCACTTACCCAAAAGTGGCCTTCAGAGAGGAGGAAAGAAACTAAGGATTTTCTATGAAAATCTTGCTCACTCGAAAACTTTATCAGAATAAGTTATAATTGTACATCTTCAAAGTAGATGCATGCATGTAAATATACAGTACGTGCAGCTGTTCTTACAACATAAATTTGAAAAACACTTGCGTTCATATAAACACATGCGCATATGTTTACACAAAATCTCACATGCACACGAGTTCAGCTGGTGTTCTGACTTTGACAGCAATTCTTTTCTACAGCATGCTGGAGATGAAAGGATTCGGTTGGAGGAGCTGCGTCAGAAGGTATTAATATATTTCCTGTTTAAATGTTGGAAATGATTTCTATCATGGCTTATGTGACCAGTTGAATACCTAGGTGTTATCTGGAGAAGCAAAGACGATTACTTTTCTGGATGTTGAGCAAGAGTTGGTATGTAGTGTATCTGATGCTAATTAAGTTTTTATGGTTGGATTCCTTCACTCTTTGATTTTTGTATTTATAATTCAGGTGCTGCCAGAGATTGGTTATCAGTTACTTCATAACTATGCTAAACCAGTGGAAGAGTGGGGTTGGCTCTGCAACATACAAGCTGAAGGTTCAGGGTCCTTCAAGAGGTATTTTACGTGATGTGCCCAACATATTTCTCATTGATTATTAATTTATTAGATTTTTAAAAGAATATACGATACTGGTGTCAGTGTTCAGCATTATGAACATAGCAAATAATTTTGATGCAGGACAGCACAGGCTGGGTGTTTGGGTATAGTTATGGTGAGCTTAGGATGATAGAAATTTTAGAGAACAAAGAAGGTTTAGGGTTGACTTTGTAGAGAAGACAGAGAGATGGGAAAGAAATTAGACACAAAAGAGAGAAGGTAGAAGAGATAACAAGGCACAAAACCTTAAGCAATCACTCAAATTTTCATTCAATTCAAAACTGATTTGGTTTACAGCAGATGGCCTTATTTATAGGCTTCAAATGGAACACTTCATAACTTGTAGAAATAGCAAAAGACTCTTAAGAACCCTAGAATACTCATTAATAATTGGAAGACTCCTAGATACATCTGTTATTTTCTGAGAGAAACAGTATTGTTCTTTTAGCCTGATTTTCTTGGGATTTAACTGTTTCGCAGGAATTTGAATCTCCTGCACAGGCAGCCAACAGCCATCACGCTAATTGCGGTGAAGCACCATCACTTCTCATTTTCAATCCTTCCATTCACCCTCTTCTATGAGCTCAAAACATTTTGAATCAAGATCTTTTACCTTTCTCTGTCATTTGTTTAATTCAAAGTAATGACTTGAAACCCACTGCAAATTCAGTCACTTTTTAAATCACGTTATTGATATGAATTTTTCCTATAAATGGCATGCAGGTACCCTGCATCTTAGGTGTCAATTTATCTGACTCAGATCTTATGGAGTTTCTTCAGCAGGTAATGTAAAGCATGCCTCTATTTCTAGGATGTCTTTCCCCTCTTTTTGTGTTGATGTCTTTTATCATCCCCAACTTTAGTTAACACCAATGTTTGACACATCTTACTGTTCAATCTTCAGCTTGCTGATACAGATGGATCATCAACAATGCCACCATCTGTTCTTCGAATCCTTAATTCTAAAGCATGCAGAGGTAAATGCTGAACCTCCACACTCTCACTAGAGGCAAGCAAGTCTTGTTTAAACAAGGCCCAATTAAGGCCTTTCCCTTGGGTGTAAATGTTTGTATCGTAGAGAAAGTCAGCTTTGAGTTGGTGCTAATATGATTGACAAAACAACCTTAAACTATTTGGCCTCATTTATGCAGTTTCTGCCTGATATAAAATTGCCAGACAAGTTTTGCTTGCATATGAATTTATTACTTACATTTAGATGATTTCTTTTATTCAATAATTTTCCTTACTTTTTTTGTTAGGTGCAATTATGTTTGGGGATTCCTTGCTACATTCAGAGTGTTCCCTCATCGTTGAAGAACTAAAGCAGACTTCTCTATGTTTCCAAGTAAGTGATCATTAGAGGCTAAGAAGGCATCGCATGGATGTGAATGTGGATTGCTGGTGTGTGGGAGGGGTATGATGGCTCATTGAATAACTATGAAACATTTGTTTTGCAGTGTGCTCATGGTCGACCAACAACTGCCCCGCTTGTCAACTTGGAAGCGTTGCATAAGCACATAGCTAAAATGGCATCATTGAGTGATGGTGAAGATCAGTTGTGGCATGGGTTACGTCGACATGAACTTAGTCTCGAACGTGCTGAAAAACGTTTAAGATTGAGTAAAAGCTAAGCTTTACATTCATTCTCATTCTTTGTACCTAGTGTATAACATTCTTCGTACTGATCAAATAAATATGCCATCCCCCCCTTTTTTTTAGAACGAGCATTTTCATTAGAAGAATGATGAATTGTGTCAGTACTTGATTGATTGATTGATCATGCAACTTTCTTTTTCACAAAAAGATTATCAAAAATCCATTTTTATTTAACTTTCTTTTAAGCAATATCTGGGTACTATAGTGATGGTATAACAGACGGTCATGGCAGGGTTTTGCAGCAAAACACAATCATGATAGTTGTTGGGTGCGTGGGTTTTTTTTTCTTTTTTCTTTTTTCTTTTTTTTAATCTTTGGTGTCAAGACAGGAATTTGGTAAACTATGGTTTTCAATCATTTGTCTTGTAGAAATTTAAATGTTTTCTACCAATTGTGAAATTTAGGGTGAAGACACATAACATAACATAATGTTATTACCTCATGTTCAGAAAGTAAACAATCAGACATTATGCGATTTTACTAGTGACAGCTGAAACAGGTGCAAATGTTAAAAAGGGGTCCTTGCTAATCAACATAGATTAACTTTAGCTTCTCTTTTCATTGTAGGGTTGAGATTTTCCATTTCAAGTTATGTCAACCTGCCATTGGAATGACCTAATATCCTAAATTATTGAGGTAATAAGACTCATGATCAACCCAATTATAGTTTTTTTTTTAAAAAAAAAATTTTAAAGAGAGCCCAATTCTAGTATCTAAAACAACTGTATCACGCATTAATGCAGTACTATCCGTCTCCAATTATAACAAGAATGAAGGGAAGAAAGAGAGGATGAGAGGGGTGGAAGAGCTATCAGTACACAAATGAGATTAACTCGACCACTAATTTGATTGCTATGTCAAAATGTTAACTTTCCAAATCAACGTTAAAGACAAACAAAGATGAGAACAAAATTTGAATTTACATTGATTTTGGCTACAATTAAATCAGCAAATTGTACAGTGTGATTTGTGTAACTGATCAAAATAGGAATCGCGTTTAATACTTTCATCCTCCTCCTTGCCCCTTTTGCAATAGAAGCCGTATCAATCGGAATACTAAACAACTACGCGATCTTGAAGAGGATGCAATAGCTCTGCAAATTATTCTATGTTGCTTGAGCAGCAAATGGAGCTTCTAATTCATAATTAACATTTCCATCAACCATCTTCCATGGATGTGTTTGAGCTTCCTTTAATACCAGTGGCAGCACACAAGGCCTTCCAGATGGGGACCAACATTTTCATAGGCGGACGTAATTCCTAGAAAGTGAATTCAACTTTCAAAAGCCAAGTAATAAATGCAAGAACAAGAGAAAAGGAAAATGTTCTTTAAATCAATCACACCTTTCCATTTACCACCTTTATAGCTTATTAAAGAAGTTATGTTAGAACATATGATCAGCACTTTCATCACATTTATCATTTATGCCTCCTAACAGCTTTCCAATAAGATATCTTCTCCAAGTCTTAAGTTAATAAAATGAATTATGTACCTTGAAAACTAACACCAATTCTGCTTCCCCGTGTACAATGAAAGACAGGCTCCAAAAACAAGTAACTGGAGTCACACATTCTAGTAGCACAGGTTTCAAAATCTTGTCCATAGGAACGAACCGACGAATAATCTTTCCACTGTATGGATAAAAAAGGAGGAAAAAGAGACTATTAGGAAACATTTGACTATACAGATCTCTAAAGTTAACACTCAAGTACAAATAATTTATACATGTAGTCCCTCCAAATTGAAAATTCACACACATAATGTAAACAACAAAGAAAATATTCATAAAATAAAAATAGAAGCTACCTCACATAGTGAGTCTCTAGTTGAACTCCAAATGCTGGCATAACCACAACGGACTCTGTGATTAATACATTAAACGGGTTAAAAAGATGACAAGAATAGTTCTTAAAAAGAAATAATAGTACAGGAAGTGCTCTATAGCAAACCTTCTTCTAATTAGGGAAACACACACACACACACACACACACACACAAACACAAGAAGTAGCATCAGAGGACCAAAAGCCCCATCACTTGGATCCTCACCTTTCTCAACACTCTTCCGAAGCAACTTTACAAGGAATGCATCTAACAAGAGACTCCATAAAACAATGATCACTGATTTCTCCTGTTATTTGTAAGATCATCATGTCAAGTTTCTTATTATACAAATCGGAATTTCAGATACCCAATACATTTTAATAAAACAGACATATAAAGTCAATCATAAAGTTTCTTTCAAGAACATGTATTTAATAAACCAATCCGAAATTGTACAATGGAAAATGGTAACTAAAAGTCTCTACCAATCTAATCCCAAGTTCCTAAGCTCATAAATTAAGCTTTGGATGTTCCAATGAATGGGTAGGCATATACTCAGTAGGACCTCAAGAGTAAAGATATAAACAGAAGAACATATAAAAAGCCTTATACTAGATATATGAAATTAAGAGGATAAAGGCATACCTTAACCAAGAAAAGGTAGAAGGCGGTAGCTAGAATAATGAGAGCGAAGAAGTATACAAAGAAACCCTTTGCACCACTCTTTCTAACAATGATGTGGTGCACGTCAACTGCTTCACGAGGCCACTTACAATCATGTAAATATTTATATCTTGAATTAGTTGATGCACCCACCATTCCCCCAAACTTAAAGTTTCATATAATTGTGCCCTTATACTTTCCTCTGCATATTCACAAAAGTACCAATTAGTAACATTGCAACCAAAAATATAAGAAAGAAAATCTTAATCAAGATAAATGTGTCAACCAGTGAAGCTTAATTTTAACATGAAAGTGTTTTTTACGTTACACTGTAAAGCTCCCACCATTTTTCTTTTTGGGACAATCTGTAAAGCTCCCAATTGACTCAGCCAGTCCAAAATTTTAAAAAAAAAAATAAAGAAAAATGAAGCTACCAAGAACATTGAATTGCAGCATTGCCACTGAGCCCCAAATTACAATGCTTTAGCTATATCTCCACAATTGAGCAATCTTACAAGCATTTCCAGCATATAAATTGATGACTTTTACCCGCACTTTATATGAAACAATTAATAAAAGAAAAAAAGAAAAAAACCCAATCTTCCTTATCGGCAAAAAGATATATACTTGTGAACAGACACGAAGACAGAAGATCAGTAGATCAGTAGAAGGCTCTGTGTTGTTTCCATGGATTTGGCACTGCATTGACATTGATATTACAATGCCAAATCCAGATTCCATGTCTATTTGCAAATTTATTTCAAAATGGCCCAAATCAACTTACCCGAGACGAAGTCCACTTTGAACCTCAATGGCGATCCGAAACCTGGCCCTGAAGCATCTCAAATTCTATGCCTCCTTCTCTCTTCTGCAAACCCTAATTGTTAAATCATGGAAGACGATGACTGTGATACGCAGGTCTCCGTGTACGATGAGAAGAGAGAGAGTCTGCTGAAAGCCCTAATTCGAAACTTGTTGGAGCTGGAGCACTCTACCTTCGTACTTTACCACCATTTTCAGCTGCTCACTAACTAACTTGTGTTGCATTATTTTGCAATGCAATTTGCAACCATATAATATAAATTAAATTAAATTATAAGTTATAACTACGTATTTGTAACAATCTAATACATGTGAGGTGATGTGCTCAACTATGTGAATAATGAATATTAATTGTAATTAATTAAAAAACCTATGTTCATTAGTAAATTTAATTCTCAACTAATAGCTATTAAAAGGAGTCATATATCAACATACATATTAAATAAGGTTGATATATTCACTAGACCCGTAAATGCATTGTAGGCTCCACATATATTTAGGCTTGGAAATCAGTTATTGCGTGTAGATTACTACTGATCATAACATGGTTGTACTTTAAAAAACAAGAATGAATGACAGTTTAAACTATTAATTTACTTTACGAGAAGAGAAATTCAAACTTGGGTGTAAGGGTACAAATTCATTGCCCTAGCCAACTTACATCTGCTTAAGATGGTATTATGCCCCTATAATTTTTTCAATATTCAATAAAATCCTCCTCGTAAAATCACACAAAATAGAGAAAAGGGCATCACATAAATTACAGAAAGGGGCAGCTTAAAAAAATAAAATAAATAAATAAATAAGGCAGCTCAGAGTCAGAGTCACGGATAAGAGAAGGAATTGGTACATTTTGTCCCCCAACAATTGATACCAGTCTTGTTTTTTCTTTTTGCTTTTTTGGTGATTAAAAAAAATTAGGATAAAATTGGCTACTTTCATCACCAGCACCAGGGCAAACCCATAATATCGAGCTGGAAAGACTTACGTGTGGCACCCAACTGACAACTGCCACCTGCCATCTGCCACCTGCCACCTACCACTGGTATGGATTGATGTAGGAAATTACAGATTGAGCATCAATGAGGACTGCTGATGGTAAGACTCGACTGGTGGATAGAAACTCTCATGTAATGGAGATTGTACTTTTTTCTATCCCCGGCGAATAACGCAGTGACAAGTAGGATAAATTTTTCACGTGTCATTGTGTTATTGGCCGGGGATAGCAAAACAGTACTATCCCAGTTATAGGTAAGTTTTTTTCCGACCAGTGAGACTACACACAGTACAGGGACCTTACCAACTGAATCAATTGATGCCGGTCTTTAATCATTGATTAAGAATGTTACAAATTACAATAGCAACCAGGGGTCTAGTGGCAATTAAACATTTTTACATTCCAGACCCCAACTGATCAATCAAAATAACGCTGGTGACCTTTTCATAATTGCACCTACGCCCCTCACGCCAGTGAATGCAATGATTGCACTCAACCTTCATTTTCAAATGGCAATGACCTACTTTTTCTTTCTTTTTTTGGTGAAAACCTACTTTTCTTTCTTTTTTTGGTGAAAACCCACTTTTTCTTTCTTTAAAGACCAAACTTTATGTCATCTTTTCCATGATCCATTCCTTGAAATGGCAAAATATTTAAACAGACTTAAAAAACCTAAAATCTTTCCTTGGAAACAAAGATATATCATCAAAGTAGAAATTAAGTAGATATCACCAAAGGGTTCTCAGCATTAAACATCTGATGTTCATTCTATTAACAATAACAAGAGGCAATGCAAAGATTGATCAGTCAAGACTCAAAACACAATCCCAACAGCAACTTTTCATATGTCATGCTAGACTAGTATATCACTATTATATCTATCTATCTAACTCTCCACTTAAACTCAGCTGGAACCATAAACTCTGCTGCTAAGGTTAGGCTTCGTATGTCGCCATATTCAAACAGGACCAAACTCGATCTTGGAAATTGACAGATGAATGTCACCCCGTCATGCCGTAGTCTTCTGCCTGCTGAAAAAGATTATAGTTGCCTGCTTCGATCTTTCCAGTCATGAGGTCATTTCCTACAAACATAAATACCGTTTCTGTTAAGAGTTTCACAAATTTCTAAAATTCAATGCATGCATATTTTGGATGTACTTAGGTAAGAGAGCTAGGGGGAGGGAGCGCACTGACTTAACATCTTTACCTAAATCAAATGACAGAATGAATTTCTATCATCTTTGTTCATCCAAAGAAAAAAAAAATCACCGAAAACATTGCTGGCTTATTCTCTTAACTTAAACTTTTGGGGTTCAGCTGAGAATGATTAAAGCTCTAATCAAATTGATTTAAATTTCAGTTGTTGACGTATCAGATAGTAAGCGAAGAGTCAGAAAGAAAACTTAATATAATAACTTACTTGAGTTTGATAGCACTTCATCATAGAATGACATTTCGCTTATATGTCTGGAAGTCCTTAAACCGCTGTTTGATGGGAACATTTTATCAGTCTTCGTGGTCTGTGGATCCAAGAAATGCAGGTCAGAACTTATCTCAGGACTCTGGAAGCACAAATCTTCAGTCCTTTGAGCTGAGTTCTGCTGGGACTGAAACAGTTCCTCTGGTCTTGTTTTCTTGTCCTTTGGTGAGTCCACTTCTGTCTCTACTTCTGATTCAGCATGGTTACATGCTGCATTTTGTTGCTTCCTTTTTGATCGAGCACGCCGGTTCTGGAACCAATTGTAAACATTTGTTTCAGAAATTTGCCCGTGCTGGCTCAGTTCAGAGGTTATCTCTTTGATCTTTTGCTTGCTTGGAGTTCCATTCCCTTGTTCAAATAAGCGCTCCAGAATTTGTAGCTGCACAGGTGTTGGAGTCCATCTCTGTCTGGCAGTAATTTTGTGTCCTGCAGATGTCATCAGCGGGTCGCAGTACAGATTTCCCATCCGGACACCTGATAGAGCAAGTGCACAAGTTTTGTTCAAATCAAATATGGTGTCATTTCAGATACTATAAGCTAATAAATTCTCTCCCCTATGGAAAGATTATCAATGCTTTCAAAGTACGATACGATAAACAGAACAAAATTACGGGTAGTATCCTAATAACTTCAACAGAACTAGTTGAATTTTAAGATCAGTTTAGTTTCAGTTTCAGAAAGAGAATGAAATGACAATGTGGCATGTGATTGTTGCAGAAAGAATGATCACATAGAGTCACACTCTCTACAAATCCTATCACACATGCACTCCTCACCCATGTATGATGTATGCTCAGTAAAAGGTATTGAGTATGTTCTTCTGTGCAAGGAAAAGCAAGCAAAACAAATTGGCTGAAGAAATGACTGACTGATCTGAAAACTACACAACAAATTTCAGAATGTGTATGATCCAAATAAAGTTTAGAGGAAAGAGTTCAAGCCCATGTGCAAAATAGAATGGAGAAACCAGATGATACTCTCCAATCATATAACATTGTTGCTTTTAGAGTAAGGTTGAAATTAAACCAACCCAAAAAAATTGAAATTCAAAATAGAAAATTAGCAGCTTTTCCCTGTGATTTATGCCGCCAAATTTGGAGAAAGAAGTTCTCTTAACAAACACCAAACAAACTAGAGATCAATGGTAAGAAAGATCAACCAAAATGAGGCCCTCCCAAAAAAAAAGTGAGAAATGATAGACTAACCAGGCTGGGAAACAAACAAGCATCCATAATCATGCAAAAACAAAGCCAGAAATGATACTAAAAAGAAGAAAAAGAACAATAGACTCCAACTCCAAGGACAAATTGACAGGCATGATATGAATTCCAAACTAAAAAAGGCCAAAGCTTTGGGAAAAAGAAAATTCCTTCATTTGGAAAACGACAAAAGAATCAGAGAAAGACCCATCACAGAACAAAAACAAAGACTACGATAAAAATTTAAAAAAATTTAAAAAACTAGAAGAGAAACAGAACAGTGAGAACAGAGAGACCTGCAAGATCTTGCTGGGCTGTAAGGTTCTTGTGCATCTCAACAAGCTGCTCACAAATGGAGGCATAAACAGCAATTTGCTTGCGAAGAGTCTCCAATTGCTCATCAGTCATCACCTTCACATACAACACTCCTCCATTCCCATTCCCATTTGCCTGCCCGTCCATTTCATGCTCTTTCTGTTGCAGCTTCTCCCACTCCATCATCCTCAAAATACCCACAAACACACAACTCTCTCTCTCTCTCTTTCTCTCACTCACTCTCTGCGAGTTCAAACTGAGACAGTGCTTGTTCTTAGCAAAGAAGAAGAACAAAGATAACGAGAAAGTAAAGAAAGAGACAAAAAGAGGCAGATAAAATATAAAGACGGGGGCCGGAGAGTGTAGAAAAAGAAAGAATTAGTGGGTGGGTGCAGTGTTCCCATGTGTGTGCTTTAGCATTCATATGCTGTTCCTTCTTCTTCTTTTTTCCCTTTAAAAAATAAGTTTTTTTAAAAATAGTTTTCTCGGATCCTAAGAAATCTGTGATTGATAATAAATATGATTTACCTACCCATTTTACATATGATTTTCATTTGTAATAATCAATCATCATATCTTTGTTTTGGAAGAAAGTACAAATAAAGAAACTCAAGCAAATAAATTTGCGTAATTATCGAGTTACCACAACTCATCACACATTGAGTAAACTGCAACCCATAATTAACAGTGATTTGTGTCTTGTCTCTCACTCCTATTAGGATCAGTAACGAGTTTATTTCTTAACACGTAAAATAAAAGAGATAGACACATAAAATACATCCCTAAACATACTTAACGGTTAATATGTAATTATAAACCAGACACATAAAAATTATACGTAGAAACATGAGCGTATATATTGAAACATTTCTCTAAGAATTTAAAGTAGCATGATGGGAGGGAGGTAGTAGGCCCAGTAAAGAGGAAGAGAGAGAGTGACATTCCTAGTTAGTGCACTGTGCGCCGCATAAAGAGAGATGGATGGACATGGATGGATAGATTCTTCAATCTTGGTCTTGGTCTTGGAGCACCGTGCTCTGCTGCGCAGCTGCTGCTACAGTACTTGTACTGCCACTTCTATCTGATATTATGTGATTTTTCTGTCCGATCTTGTTCTTCTGTCACTTCGTCCGACAAACTTCATTTTATTGTACAAGAACCAGATAACCCATCACTCTCTCACATAAAAAATGAGCCAGTACTTTCTTGGACTGGATTTTCTCTTCTTCTTTT